CAGCTCCACATGCTGAGACTCTCTGCGGGATCCTGTATAGGAGGAGAAGACATCAGTATGACAGAAGCCAGGTTGGCACCGGGGTTCTTACTACCTTAAGAAGTGCTGGTATGAAATGTGTTTGGGCTCACAGCTGTAGACTATCCAGTGAATGTTTGATTACGTTTAATTTGTTGTATCTCAATCTGGGGGCTTTGTAACTCTGGTGGCAGTACCTTCTGGTACATAGTTAGCCTTTAGATTCACAAGGTGACCTCCAAAAATGGTAAACATGTTTATTAGTGAGATATATTGAGTTCCTGAGTCTGCACATTTTCAGCCACTTCCTGAGTCTGTAGATGCATTGTGCCCATTATGAGGGGTTCCCACCATCCCTGTGCTGAGTTCCCAGGTCTGTATGCCTGCTGTGCCCATTATGAGGAATTCCCACCATCCCTGTGTTGAGTTCCCGGGTCTGTATGCCTGCTGTGCCCATTATGAGGAGTTCCCACCATCCCTGAGCTGGGTTCCTTGGTCTGTACCCCTGCTGTACCCATTATGAAGGGTTCCCACGATCTCCGAGCTGAGTTACTGGGTCTGTACACCTGCTGTACCCATTATGAGGGGCTCCCACCATCCCTCTGCTGATTTTTTTGGCCTGTACACCTACTGTGCTCATTATGTGGGGCTCCCACCATCCCTTTGCTGAGTTCCCAGGTCTGTACACCTGCTGTGCCCATTATGAGGAAGGCCAACTTTCCCTGTGCTCATTATGAGGGGTTTCCACCAGGCCCGGACTGGCCATCGGGCATACCGGTCACTTGCCCAGTGTTTAGAGTGAAAATCGGTCTCTTCCACATTAATAAATCTGTTGGCAACTTTTGCAAATATGTTGCAGCAAACCCATCACATAGATTTTGCCAAGTGATAGGCAGCCTGATTTGCATCTGTTTCGGTAATTTAATAAATATCCCCTACTGCAAATCTGCTGCATCGGCTTTAATAAGTGAGAGACAGGGTGATTTGCTTCTGAGGCCTCATGCACGTGGGTGCATAACCTAAATTGTGGGCGTAGTTCCATGGCCCGGATACACATCTGCCGCAAACAGCCACCGTAGTAATGAATGGCTATAGACGGGTTTATGCCCCTATTTGGGTAAAACCTTCCATGCATAAAGCTGTCTGACTGCGTCCAGGGTTGTACACCCATATGCATGCTCCAGTTTACACAAGTAGCAGCGTACACCCACCTACAATCATTTCTTTTTTGATCTGTTGAGGTGTGTTGGCAGCCCATTCATTATGACTGGGGATGAACTAAGGTTTGGACTGAACCCGAGCTTCTCTGAAACCAGAAGAGGCATGGGGCCACCTGCCCAATCAGTTGGGGGCCGCGGCATTCCCCTCCCCCGCAGCTGCAAAGGGGCGGGGATGCCTGTACTGATATCGCATATTAACTGCAGCGGATCTCACCCCAACTTAGGATCCCAAATCTGCTGTAAAAATTCGAGCCAACCTACTGCCAATGTTTTTGTTAGAATCTATCAGGGACGTGCGGTTAGGGGAAGCAGGTGAGGCAGAGTCTCACCTAGAATTATGGAGGAAAAAGCTTTCAGCTTCATGTCTGAAGTTGACAGCTTTTTCTCCATTCAGATGGCCTTTCTAATAGGTTACACAGCAAGGAAATCCTCCCCGCTGTGTAACTTGTCATGGAGCTTCAGCGGTTAGGAGCAAGTGAGGGACAGGGAGGCTCCTCCCTTCCTCCTTTATACTACCGTGTTTCCCCGAAAATAAGACACTGTCTTATATTTTTTTGGCTCAAAAAAAACACACTAGGTCTTATTTTCAGGGTAGGTCTTATTTTTCTTTTTTGAATGTACAACAATCCACACTTATTCATGAAGAAAAGTCTACATGTATTCATGTACAAAAATATGGTGATCAGGGGTGCCGTACCTTTCCAAGAGCAATTTGCTAACCAATCGCTGGCCAGAATGAGCGAAGCGCGCTTTCACTATTGATTCCTCACAGGCGAAGTGCATTTGGTATCACTCCGCCTGTGACAGGAGCCGGCGCTATAGAGGAAGCATCGGCTTATGCAGCTCTGCTCCCTCCGGTGCCGCCTTGCTTCCTCTAGCGCTGGCTTCGTTGGCACCGCTGATTCTCCCCCGCTGCTCTTCAAGTTCCCTCTTATGCCACCACCGGCCCTGGGAATGGTCATAACTAGGTCTTATTTTCAGGGTAGGTCTTATATTTCAGCAATTCCTAAAAATAGTACTAGGTCTTATTTTCGGGGTAGGTCTTATTTTAAGGGAAACAGGGTAGCTTGGGGACGGGGCTTCGTCCAATGGGGGGGGGGCTGGATAATGCCTCACTCCGACCAAGAGGTACCGCACGTCACTGGAATCTATGAAACAATTGGACATTGGTGGTCAGCAGCCTTAAGGTGGCCATACACTTTACAACTCTTGCAAGACTTTTGTCTTGCGAGGGTTGTAAAGTAATTTTAAAAATGTACGATCTGCCCATCTTGGACAGGCAGATCGTACTTGCGATCGTCGCAACCCCGCCCCCCTGAGGGACGGGCTTCCGATGACTGCAATGAGGGGTGGGCTTCCCATGACTGCAAACGGCAGTGTGCGTGTGCGCACACCGGCCCGTTCGGCAGTTGTCGAACAAGCAGGCCACTAACCCGCCGAGAATCGTACGATTCCCGGCGGGTTTTCCAGCCTGCTTGTTCGACGGAAGACGTGCGACTGTAAAGTAGAAACGGGCGCACGCCTTCCATACACTTTGCGATTATCGTACGATCGCTGGGAATACCCGCCATTCTCATACGATAATCGTACAGTGTATGGGCACCTTTAGTCTGTTTGTTCTTTTGTGAGAGAAAGTTAGCTGGAAGTGAAGTAAATCCCTCTATGTAAAACCACTATCACCCCTCATACAGACAACCTGAGTGTATGCTGGGAGAAGGGTCCTTTACTCTCACCCTGTATTCCTTCTGTTTCCTCTCTCTGTATCCGCCCAGTATCCTATCTGTATCTCCCCTGTACCCCTCAATATCCCCTTTGTATCTCCCATGTACCGCTTGTTTCCTCCCTGTATCCCCCCTGTACTCGCTCTGTATCCGCCCAGTATCTATCTGTATCTCCCCTGTACCCCCCAATATCCCCTTAGTATCTCCCATGTACCGCTTGTTTCCTCCATGTATCCCTACTGTATCCTCTCAGTATATGATTTGTATCCTATCTGATAGCAAGCAATTGAGCTGCAAGTTTGAAAATGACTTGCTAAACTATTGCAGACTTGCCAAACTTCACAATTTTGTTGCACAATTACAGCAGGTCAGCATTGCAAGTCTCCAGATCAACGTAGTTTGCAAAAGTGCTGTACACTTGCAGAGCTCTTGCTAACACCTGCAGTAGACTTGCCAAGCAAATGTGCTACAATTTCAAAAAGTGTAACTAGAACTTGTGCTGCAAGTCTACAACTTGCCAGGAATGTGTGCAGCAAGTTAGCAAGAATTACAATTTAACCCTGCCACAAGTATCTGCCCAGATAGCAAGGATAACTTGCCACAAACTTGTACCAGGGTTAAATTGTAATTCTTGTTAACTTGCTGCACATATTCCTGGCAAGTTGTAGACTTGCAGAACACTTGCAGCACAAGTTCTAGTCACACTTTTTGAATTTGAAGCAAATTTGCTTGGCAAGTCTACAGCCTACACCTGCAAGTCCTGCAGGTCTTAGCAAGAGCTCTGCAAGCTCGCTGGTCTGGAGACTTGCAATGCAGACTTGCTGTAATTGTGCAACAAAATTGTGAAGCTTGGCAAGTCTGCAATAGATTTCAATTATTTTCAAACTTGCAGCACAATTTCTTGCTATCTGGGTGGGTATCTCTCCTGTACTCAGTACTTGGTTTGGGCCCCTTTTGCAGCACTTACTGCAATTACTTTTGCACGATATTCTAATTATTCGAGGTTCACCTGTATCTCCCCTGCAGTGGGGAAGCTGTACATTCTATCACCCGCTTCAGAGTTGCCCCCCAAGAGAGAAGTTCTCCATCCACACACCCAGTGGCACATGCCCCCCCCCCCCGTATCCGCGTTGTGTCCCTCCTGTATACACGTTGTGTCCCCTCTGTCCTCGTTGTGTCTCCTCTGTATCCTCGTTATATCCCCATCTGTATCCTCGTTGTGCCCCCACTGTATCCTCGTTGTGTCCCTCCTGTATCCTCGTTATATCCCCTCTGTATACTCATTGTGCCCCCACTGTATCCTCGTTGTGCCCCTCCTGTATCCTCGTTATATCCCCTCTGTATACTCATTGTGCCCCCACTGTATCCTCGTTGTGCCTGTCCCCTCTACATCCTCGTTGTGCCCCCTGTATCCTCGTTATGTCCCCTCTATATCCTCGTTGTGGTCCCCCCTGTATCCTCGTTGTGTCCCCCTGTATCCTCGTTGTGTCCCCTCTGTATCCTGGTTGTGTTCCCGGTGTCACCTCCCCCCTCGTCCTCACCAGCCTCAATATTATGAAACACACTATTCTGCCTGTTTCACAACAAGGGCGGTGATCCCGCTTCGGCCAATAGGAGAGCGCCCTGGCACGTCACGTGGCTGCTCACTTTATGTAATGTAACTGCACATGTTATATCAGCGATCTTTTTTTTTTTCTTTGTGTTTATATTTTTTTCCTGTTTGTTGAATAACGATCGTTGCTGTCCCCTGTGTCAGACAAAACATTTTCCTTCCAGCATCTCCTTGTCTAGCCTTCTTGCTCTCATGTCAGCAGCACTGCCTAATGCACACTGGTACTTTTTGGTTTCCCCTTGTCCTGCCCATATCGGGATGGCATCAGCTGTTCTCCGCGATGGATGCCAAGGCAGAGGAATCCCCTGCACCAGATGTTGACAGGTGCAGGCACTGTTGGTAGCTGGAGGAGTACTGTCGACCCTGCTTTTCAGGCATTGCAACCTTTCTGAAAAGGATCTGTAAAGGGACCTCATTCTGTGCCCTAAGGTGACTTTTGGCTACCCTGAGATAACTTATGGAGATGTTCAATTGTCCATCCTGCCAGCACCCCCTGTGGGAGCCTGTGACTGTACCCTGTGGTCACACTTTTTGTAAGAGATGCCTGCAAGGACCAACTAGGGGCAAGTGTCATGTCTGCAAACACAAGCTGAAGATCAGAGGTGACCAGAATCTGAGATGTAACACTCTGCTGTCTGATCTCCTGGACAAGTGCCTGGACCCACCAACCAAAGTCAACAGGATCACAAGGGACCTGCAGGATCTGATCACCCAGCACAAGTATGATGAGGCCGAGAAGGTAGCCTGCAAGGCTGTTGCCATGGGTAAGGAGGCAGAAAAAGTGTCCAAGGGCCAGCTGACCCACTTTTATGTTTGAAGCAAACAGCTGAAATGATTGTACAATGTACAAAGCAGTGGAGGAGTGCAAAGTGCACCAACCAATCAGATTCCACTTTTTATTAGTTCAGGGCAGCTGTAATATTGAAAGGTGAAGGCTGATTGGTAGTTTGGGTTTGCAGCTCTGAAAATGTTCTCTACCTTATTAAAGTGTATTCTAAGTCATTTGTTTTACTTTGTATAGAGTAGATATTGGTTGAAGTGTATCTATAGCAATTTTTAAAGGGTTAGTTCACTTTTGAAAACCTCCTCCCCTCCCCCTTTCACCATCCCCATTACACAGTGCACTTAACGCAGAGCTTTACCCACCAATTTAATGTCTCCCAAAAAGGTTTTTTTTAAGGCCTGGCAACTATCAAGGTTGCCAGTGTGCTTATTTCAGCTCTCAACCAAACTTTCAATTTCTCAAATGGCTGGTGTGACAGCTGATCAGCACCTTGGCAACTGCAATCCATATAGACGCTTCTCTGGCTGTAAGGAATAGGAGGATGTTGTTCCGCTTTTAACCCCCGCTCACATATGGGCGTATTGTGAACACGCATGAAACACCCACAAAAGTGTGCTCTTTCATGTGCGTCCACAAAACGCAGAACACGCTTGCGGTGCCATTGCTTGTAATGACACCACAAACGCAGCTGAGCAAAAGCACTTTCTTCCTGCATGTTCACAGAATGATTTGCAACACGCACAACTTTTCCTGCATTCGGGGCGCTTTTGGTACCCATTGTAATCATAGGAGGCACGCCGAATGAGATAAACAAAGGGCCACAACCGCAATACTCCCATATGTGAATGGGGCTAACTGCAATTTGGTTACCCTCATCAACATAATGTTTGCAAATGGCAGCAGTCATTGGTCAATGCGGCTATGTGACCACGCTTACCAGTGAGAATCTCTGGTGGGACACCGTTATGGAAGAAAGAAGACTCAGAAGAGATTCTTATTGGTTAGAGTGGTCATGTGACCAATAACTGCCCCTATTGCAAGCATAATTTTGCTATACATCCTCCGGGGTTGTGTAATTTTCAAGTGCCGGGACCATTGTATGGGCTGGTGTGGGCGGCGGGTGAGGGTCACCATTGCAGATAAGTGCAGCAAGGAACGGGGGTGTGGGGTGGGGGGAGAAGGGTGTTGTGAGTCCATTCGCCTTTTCATTTTTTGTGAAAAGAGGTGTTTTGGATGGAGTAAGTTTTGGATGGAGTAAGAAAAGAGTTTCAGGCTCTTTGCTGCCTGTGTTACCATTAGGGAGATCCACTCTCTCTCTTGACAGCGGGAGTAAAAACCCAAAAAATTAGAATTTTCATCAGGACAGAAGGGGGCATTTACAAATGGGAACATTTGTTCTGGTGGCAACTGTCTACGAGGGCTTTGAAGAGATTTCCTCTCACTGCAATAGTGCCTATATCGTAGCTTTCGGCTGCACTGCTGTCGCCATTGAAAGTTTTGTGCAGTCCAAACACTGCATGCAATGTTCAGATTATGGTTACATGATGCCTGGCTTAAGAGAAATGTGTCAATACACACTTTCTTACTGGCATTTGGGATGAAGAGGGGCACGGTAGGTGCTGAAAACCATTCAAAGTCACATTAAAGGAAAATTCCACCAGTTGAAAACAATTTTAAATAAATGCACACTTGTTCATAAAAGAAAAAAAAAGTGCATTCATTTTGTTTTGCAAAGGAGCCAGTAAACTTTTGCAAATAGTAGATCACAGGTGGAATGCTCTGGCTCCTGCAGACTCTTCCTCCTGTCCATGTCTGGACACTCAGTAACATGGATGAGAGGAAGAATGAATGGACTACAAAAAAAAGAATCCATAAGGGCCCATTTACACCATGTCCGGATAGTCTCTAGACCAGACCAGATTGTTTCCGTACCCAAAATGCATCCTTATGCTATTTCTGGCCTCATACCTGCGCAGTCCGTTCCAGACCAGACCAGAAAAATACTGTACGTCTCATTTTGTCTGCTCTGGAATGCACTGGAACTGCGGGCAGGTTCACACCATTTTCCGGACCAGGTCTGGTCCGGAAAATGGTGTGAACCTGCCCTTAGGAAAAGTGGGACCCCCTCATAATGGCCAGTGCAGGGGTGCAGACATGGAAACAGTCGCCATCATGTCCCTGAGAGATATAAGAAGCTATCAGGTGGTTTAACTCGCCTACATCAACAAAAAAAATGAAATTTGGGTGGACCAACCCTTTATGAAAAGCAGTAGAGGGATTGTTGTGGTTTTTGATCTGCCAATTGCACCGTTCAAGTCCTGGACCAAGAAATATAGTATAAGGCCATAAAAAAACAACAACATTTTTTGGATATGGATCTGAACTCAGGTATATTGTTTTCAATAGAGACATGCACACAGTTGCGTTCAGATCCATAGCAAAATATCAAAAAATCTGCTTCTAAGGTCTTACATTTTACGTGCTAACACGTGTTAGATACATGTTTACACGTTTACTCACATAAGCGCATGTATGAAGTCCAAACAGGAAAATTACATTGAGAACAGAGCCGGAGGAATGGAACCAGAATTGTATGCATACGTGTTTATGTAACTAAACGCAAACATTTTACTGACCAGGAAAAAGCAGTTCTATGATCAGTACATTTCTTACAGCCGTGTGTGTGTAGTCGTACAATTTATGGTGGTAGTCAAGGAAACTTTCAAAACAATGTGAGTTGCTGGTTGTATTTTAGACAGGACTGTAAGGGCGTATTAAAATACTCCCATCTACGCTGGATCTTTCTGCCAGAAGCTGGCTAGAGTATTCATTTATTCTAGGCACTACATTGAATCTACATGCAGGCACACATGTGTTTACATGTATATGCGCATAAATTATACCAGTAAGCTCCTCTCTGAAAGGCATCTTTTTTTTTAATGCCCCTGAACGCTGCTCACAAATACAGATCTAAACACCACAATGTGCATGGACACATTGGCTAAATAGAACTGAGTTTAGAGGCCTAAAAATGTAAACAAAAAATGCCTCTAAAAGCAGTGGGGTTTTTTTCCGGCCATTGTGGATAAGGACTAAGACAGGACAGTAGCACACCCCTGTGCTTTGGCCATTGAGTGCAATATAGCTGGTCAACCTTAGAGCGAGGAGGTTTTCTCCAGTTTCAGTGGGCAAACATGGTATCAGAGCAAATGTATAAGTATGTGCTTCTTAAAGAAGAACTCCAGGAAAAAAGTTAATAACCCCTGCAGTGGGGTTACAGGTGAGCACCCCTCTGCACCTGTGTGTTCACTGGGTTTATATGGCGAAGGATTTAAAGAGACTTCGGATCTGTGGCTTCCTGATAGTGTGGAAAAGGATTTTCACCTGATAGTGTGGAAAAGGATTTTCACATGTGGATACCACTAGATGTGTGTTCACTACACCTTTGAACTTTTTTGCACTTTATTTCGTGTCCTATGATATTGTGGCGATAGATTCACATATGTGGATATCAATATATGTTGTATGTTTTTTGCACTTTTGAATTTTGCTGCACTCTATGTATTTTTTTTGTATATCAAGGATTTGTATCCACTTGAGCTCTAGATTTTGATGAGATTACATGTCTCTTTTATGCAACCTGTTTGATCTACAAATTTTTTCACAACACAGCTTTTTAATAGATCGGCATATTTACATATATATTTGGGATTCCTGCCACAGGGATCCCAAAACATGCCTTAAAGGGGTTCTAAACCCTCCGTTTTTTTTTTGGGCAAACAGCTTTTAAAAAAAAACAGCTGTTTAAGCGTACCTTTTTTCTTTGCGCGCTCCCGCGCCGAGAATCAGGAACTGCTCGTACGGCCGCAAAGGTTTTTGGGGCGGGCGCATGCGCAGTTCGGATTCTCGGCCGGGAGACAAGCAGAGACGCAATGTAAGTCTATGAACGCGTGCACCCGCATGCAGACACCGCTGGATCGGAAGTGCCTGCAAGCAGAGAGGTGTCAGCGCTGGATCGGAGAGCCGCAGCACCGCTGGAGGGACACATGAAAACATCAGGAAAGAAGAGGAAGATCGGATTAAGAGACATCATTTAAGGTAAGTGCTAACATTAACATGGGAGGGGAGGGACATTTTTTTTTACTTTAATGTCACTTTAACTTTAGGTGTATGGCCAGCTTTAGAATGAATTATTGTATGACTCACCTCTAGCGTCCCTGTCGTTTGCCTGCAGCATCCGGTTCTGATATGTAAAATACCTATTATAAAACATTATGCCTTGTAATGAACCTTCCTGCTAGTCTGAGCACAGCTTTTTCCTGTGTAATTTGTTTGTGTAATACAACAATCCTGATTGATATGTGATCTATATATAGGAATGTATGTGCAGAGGGAAGCACACATATGTAACACATTCCTTTCTGCAGTGTTGACAAGTGTCTAGATAATCTTCGAATGCAATGCACTTACATACAGGAATTCCTTGAAGCAGTAGCGTTTTAGAAAAATCCAATGGATTCACTACATTGCTGTTCAATGGCTCATTTTGACCATTTGTATGATGTGCTACAAAGAGGAAACTTTGTTACATTGTATAACTATTCTAGGATGAGGATCTGCAAAGAGACAATGTTGCAATAGGAATGAATTACCTATTTGTTACAGGGCTCATGCACACAGAAGTAATTCAAGTTGTAAAGTCCCAGCATATCCTCTCCTGTAATACATGGAAGTGCATATTCACAGGGCTGAGTTAAAATGTCAGTGCATTGAGGAAGAACATCCTATTGGTATCTTAAATAAGTAAGTTTGCAAACCTCTAGATGGATATGGGTATTAGGAGTGGGATAGAACGTATGGAAAAATCAATATAGATTTATTTTTAGTTTTTGACCATAGATACCCTTTAAATACTGATATCTATGCTTGATCTTGCTGCCAGAAGCCGCCAGAAAGGTCCAGCGAGAAAAAAACACGTGA